CCGATACTTGGTAGCGGTCTGGATCGGTTGTCAGCAGAAGATCCAGGCAATTGGCAGTGTGGTCGTCAACGTCCGGTACCCTGGTAGCGCAACTCACCAGCTGGGTGAGGTCTAGCGATAGAGCACATGCCCGCGCCTCTCTTCCAGCGTGGTATGGGAACAACCATTCCTGGTGATGGGCATTAAAGTCCCCCAAAAAGACAAGTTGTGCTTTAGGATACCGTTGTTGGACTGTTTCCGCCGAGCTGCAGAGATGGTTGAACAACCTAGTCGTCTCCGGGTCTCCAGAATGCGACCGATACACACTGGCGTAGACAATTTGTTCCAGTCCAGTGTCTACCAGAACCCACATTACAGAGAGATCGGGGTCTTCAAGGTCACGGAGACGTTTAGAGCAGATGTCATCACGAGCGTAAACGCAGGTACCAGCGCGCTGCTTAAATTTGTGCTCCAGAATGTAACCTGGGTAATGCAGATACGCCGTGTCCGAAGGACATCTAATTTGGGTCTCCGTGAGGAAGAGCATGTGAGGCCTTTCAGTCTCAAGATGGTGGTGGACAGATGAGAGATTGGAGTGCAGACCTCGGATGTTCGAGAGGTGCACTTTAAGTGAAAGGACGTGCATCCGCTGTTTAGCCTTCCTCAATTTTCTTGACCTTTTCATATTAGGGTTAGAGTGAATGGGGAGAGCGAAGGCAGTTGTACGAGACACTACTACTGAAAGTCATGCGGCACATACCCTATACGGTACGCCGATGGGAAACTAGACTGGAGCGCGCGGGGACGCCCGAACCCCCCCGGGAGTGGCCATCGGGTCCTTTCATTCGGTCGCCAACCGGCACGATGGAGCACCCCGGGATTTTTCGCGAGTTGGCGGGGCAGCCTTTCACTGGAGGCTAGTCAGCTAATTGGGCCCCCTACTACCTGCGGTCGGCCAGCGGAGCACCGTGCTTCGGATCCCGCTACCCTCCGCATCTAGGTTCCCAGCGCAACAACAAGGGAGCCCCGAGATCAACCAAATCAGTGCAGTGCAACTGTACAGACCCTTCACTCTAGAGCGGCTACTCTGGGCGTCAAGCCGGAACACAGCTATAGCTGTTTGGCGGCTAGGCTTCGCCCAGAGGGTGGTCACCAGCCACGACCAAGGTCTACCACCGGAGTTTGTAGCTTATTTGGCACCACCCAGGGGTCACGTGTAGGGTCTCGAGGGTACACAGCCTACGGACGCGAGCTACTTAACCCCCATGTATATACTCTGATAGTATGTACTCTGATATACCTTTAAAATTTGAGGATATTCCTCAAACAAAAAATAATTTTCAAAATCGATCTACAATTGACGGAGAAATCTGAAAACTTACATAAAACATACATACTGCCGAATGTATAACCTCCTCCTTTTATTGAAGTCGGTTAAAAACAGAAAACGTATTAAATACGATTTCACCATATTTGAGTAATAAGTCAATTTAGGTCGCTAATGTCAGTGTCGAATTGTTCTCCAGTTGCTCGTATATAACCCAATATAACCATAACTAACTTGTTTGTTGCTTTGTTTTTTTTAGAGATAAAGATAATAATTAAAAATATGTATAAATAATTATTGTAAATTGTATAATGTGAACAAATATCTATTTACAAAGAGCGACTAATAGAGTTAGTTTCTTTTTAAAATATTTCTTTTTTCTTATTGTCATTACTCATATCTAACCATCTTGCCTATTTAAATTGTAATTTACTTAGGAAATAAAGGTATTTTCAAGTTGAATATAATAAAATGTATTATGTAAACAATAGAAATGAAGCCATTTCTTCGGATCTAAGTCATGTATATTTGTTATAATTATTTATGCAAAGATCGAATATTTAGAAAAAATTCCTTCGATCCGGCCGGATTCTAAATTTTTCACAGACGGCGCTACGGCTAAAAAGTCGTTTAAAACTAGATACAAAGATCCGACAAACAAGCACATAGAGAAATTAGTGAGGTCCGCTGGTCCGTGGCTTAGTTGGCATAGCGTCTGCCACGGAAGACGTCGGCTCGAATTTTTTCCAAGTGTTCGATCTTTATATTAATAATTATAATTTGAACAACATTAGTTTTATCTATAGGCGTTGCCCTGAAGCGTGCTTACAAATACAGCATACGTTTTAACACCTCAGTTATTCACTATATGAATTATCACTAGTTACAGGTTTCCAATTCCAAGTCTCTCGTTGTATTAATAATTATAACAAACTAATGGAGTAATTTCACAAAAAATAATTGAATATCATGGCGGTGCTGTTATTTAATAGAACACTTAATCGTGTAGGTATATTTGTTTTACAAACAATTTTCTGACTAATACCGTCTCATTCATCCGTGACCACTGGACCTGTATGTTTCTAGCTCAGAAACGTATATTTGTTTGAAAAAGAAAAACAAATTTTGTGTACTACCCTGGCACGCAGATGACCCGGGATCGATTCCCAAATATTTGTATGGCCTATAACGTCGCCTTGCCTTCTCAAATCGTATTTGAGTGGTATGGTACAGAGGGTCGATGTTAACGGTACGAGATCATCAGAGTCTGCAATTAGCATGGGTGTCCCTCAAGGTTCAATTCTAGGTCCATTTTTGTTTTTAGTTTATATTAATGACTGACCTAGCCCCATGGAGGGTTTAAAACATGAGATAGTATTGTTTGCTGATGATATATCATTATTATTTAAAGTTAAAAGGCACTAATGTTCCTACGACGATGTGAACAATACTATATCTAAACTAGTTGATTGGTTTGCTGTTAATAAAAAAATAAAAATAAATTTTGTGAATTTACATTACCCAATATTAGACAGGCGGTTACAAACATTGTAGTTAGAAACCAAAAATTGAATCTTGTGGATACAGTTGTATTTCTAGGTATAACGTTAAATGCTAAATTGCAATGGGGTCCATATATAAGTAAGTTATCAAAACGGCTCAGCTCTGCAGTGTACGCGATTAAAAAAATAGGGAAACTTTGAGACGTCGAAACCACTAGATTGGTTTACTTTAGCTACTTTCACAGTCTAGTGACATAATGCCGCCGATGTCAATAGAATCTTTGTCCTGCAGAAACGTGCGGTTATGACAATTTAGAATCTGGGCCCCAGAGTATCTTTGAGAGATAAGTTTAAAGAAATTAATATTATTACACTAGCGTCAAGTACACCTATGAAAATGTAATTTATGTTAAGAGGAATAGTAATCTTTTTAGGAAAAATAGTGACAGACATAACATTAATACGAGGAATAAAAATAAACTAGCTTTTCTTGATAGTCGTCTTCACAAAGTGATTTCTATAACAAGATTCCGGTTGATATACAAAATTTGCCTTTCACGAGGTTTAAAACTACAGTGAAACAAAAACTTGATACTAAAGGTAAAACGCAGAAGTTGTATAATAAATACAACTTCTGCGTACTTGGATGACAAAAATCCGTGGTAGTAACCCGTTTAGCTCTTGGAGGTAGTCTCGATCTCTGATGGTTGAAAGTAAAAAAAATACATATTGTAAATGTTGAATGCGTACAAATGTTATTTACAAAGAGTAACCCCTAGAGTTTCTTACTCATTCTTCTCAGGGGAATTTGCCTTACGAATGAGCGGTAGAGTTTACCCAGTGTGACGATTTCAAGTGAAATAATGCTTACCTACGTATGAAATAAAGATTATTTTGATTTTGATTTTTGATTTTCAAACTCGTATCTTAAAGCTCAAAGTTACTGAAATGCAAAAAAAGAATTGTATGTACAAATTTTGCAGCCTGATTTCACATGATATTTCCTTCATAAAATCACACACTGGCTTTTACCTATTCCTAAAGTAATGCATTCAAATTAACGCCCTTGATAAGAAATTTAAAATAAATAGAAATTTTGCCGTCTCCTGAATAATTTCACTCGTTCATAACATATGAGTTTGAGAAAGTAAGGCATCGTTATGTATTATTTCTCTCATGTCTGTGTGTCCATGGTTTGACGACCTCCTTGATCCAATGGCTTGCACATCGGTTTTCATGGTGTCGCCATCTCTGAGATCCCAGGTTCGATCCCCGGGCGGGTGTAGAAAAACTATCTTCCTATATTGTGTCGGATCTGGGTGGTGGCACCGTCATTGTTTCCGACTTCCATAATACAAGTGCTTTACTTACCTACTTGTACACTGATGAACACTTGTTGTACAAATGTAGGCCACCAAATAAAGATAAAAATAGTGTTTACCTACTTTAAGATTTTTTTAAATTTTATGTTAGCTCAAAAAGTTCGTAGTAGAAGGAATTAATGGCATCGAAACAAACCGAAGTAGGGTTTAATCCCAGACCAAATATACCTTTTTTTTAAACAAATAAGTAGTAATAAGAAAATAACTTTGGGATCAGAGCAACGTATGTGATGTTGTCTAATATTTATTTAACTTTAACTAATTAATATGTTTTAATTTGTTCTAATTTCCATTATTAATTTGTAAAACATAATGTTGCGTAAATTGGAATGTTTCTTTGCAAAATTAAAAATAAAGTATTTAATTAATAACTTTTGTAACTATATTGAAAAAATAGGGCGGTTTGCATTAATATTTAGACATAACTGGTTGATGACTGTACCACCTCAGTCAACCGTGACCATGGGACGTGTAATAGCCCGAAACGTTGATTTGTTTGAAAAAACAAATATACGCGATTTAAATCCGAAAAAATAGTTTCATTTCGCTAATATTTATTTATTTAGGGTTTCCCAAGTGCGAGGCTACGAGAGTGAAACGCACACACCGTTACTACCATTATATTATCATAGTTTATAAAATATCAAGCACACTACCTATAATTCACAATTAGATCAGCGAGCTACAAAGCAGTAGTAAATATTTTAACATCTGCTACTATCACTTAAAGGTAAGAGAATTGCACGTCCGCTGACGCAATGTGTCAGTGTGTCAGTTGTAGCCCGCGAGCGTACGCCTCTGGTCGTCGCCATGGCGTTTCCTGTTAATTTTAACGGACGTAAATACGATTTGAAACAATTCTTACGTGACCACCCCGGGGGCGTGAACACGTTAAAAATGTTCAAAGGGCAGTCTGTCGGACAGGTTATGGAAAAATATGGACACAGTACCAGTGCTTATCACATGCTAAACGATTTTAAAGTGGAAAATGAACTGAAAGATTACAATTTGAGCGGTAAAGTCAGCGATAATGGAAGAATTATTACAAATGAAGAAAGCCGTCGAGATGTTAAAGAAATTGCATTTTTAGAAGAGTTAGAGGTATGTAAATAAGATATTGTTCACCAGGTACATTTTTAAGCGTCTATACTAATGAGTGTAACTTATTTGAAATAACAACTATATACATATCGAATTACATCAATGTACAAGGAAGATCGTTACAAGTAGAATAGTGGATTGTACAAATATGACCTAATGTAAAAAAGTATAGTCTTCTAAGTCAATGTCTTCTACCTACAAATCGCACATAAAACCAAAAACTGTATTAACTCAAAAATTTGTGGGATTGAAAAAACACAATTAGCAAGTTCAAAGGAATTTTTTTTATGATACCAAGCTATAGGACGAACGAGTCGTGCGCCTGGTGCCAAATGACACGCCTGTCCGTAGCAGTTTCAGTACCACTCAGAGCTTTAAGTCGCAAAGATCTGAGGGGCCCCCTGAGACAAGTGGACAATTCCCTGTAATTTCACCAGTTCAAAACCGAAACACAGTAATGCTTCACATTACTGCTTGGCAGTACAAATAGATAAGGTGGCAATATTCCCTGGACGTACTCTTCCATGAGGAGCTCTACTGCTACTAGACAAACGAATGGACCTTATTGCGAATAATGTGATTATTTTTATTTATACGTAACATTTTGTTATCTATTTATAAACGAGAATATAAAAATGGTGTCATTCAGTAATTGTTTGAACTATCAAGTCTCAGGGTCGTATTCCAGAACTCTACTCAATGCTCAAGTCAGGATTTGAGCAGACTTGAGTATGATTTCAAGCACTGGAAATACGACACTAATGGCAAGGATTTGAGTATGATTTTCAGTGCTCACTGCAATACTCAAATCCTGACTTGAGTATTGAGTAGAGTTCTGGAATACGACCCTCAATTCCAGAATGTTGAGTTACGACAATATTTGGTTACATTTGCGAAAATAATTTGCAGTGCCCTCAGCGCAGGGTCCACAATGCGCTGTCAACTTAGATTTAAGTCTTTTTCATCCTATGTAAAATTATGGATAATGCAATAATGAATTTGAATTGGACAGTAGCACTATGATTGAGACGCTATATGATGAGGTTCCGCGTTCTATTTTTGGTAAGACTTGGGGAAATGATTTTTTCTAAATTGCTTCTAGTCTGGGTGTGTTCGGTATTCGTAGCAAAGGGTTTTTGCTGGTAGAGATCAAGTAATTGGTGAGGTCACCGGGTCTTTTATTATTTTGGATGTTTATTTTAGACCCTCGCCTCTCCCATGGCCTGAAAGATTAATATTGAATTATAAAGAATAGAATTTTATTATTGTTGTTTCATTATTAACATATCGCACTGCTATTACAATAGTTTCGTAACACAAAATTGTGGAATTGAGAAAACACGATTTGAAAACAAAACTGAATGAAACCAATATAATATATAGATAAATAGATAGATATACACTTTATTGCCCACACACAAGAACAAAATCAGTATATAGACAGCTTATAACTGTAGTGGGCAAAGGCGGTCTTATCGCTAAGAACGATCTCTTCCAGACAACATTTGATATGTAGGAAATTTAATCAGAGCAGGATACGTAGTGTGCCAATAGCAAAATTTGAGTTGTAAAGATAGACAAAAATGTACATTAATTTTACCAAATAACAGATATTGTACCTTTTGATATTAATGTATATTAAATGGATAATAAAGTATTATGCACGAATAAATAAGATCTATTCAGTTCTTTTTTAATTTTTAAATTGGTTTTCTCTATTCCACAATTTTGAGTTACAACACTATTGTAATAGCAGTGCCATATGAGAAGACTGTTTACCTCCTAAAGGTCTAATTAATTACTAGTAGCTCATAATATGCCTCAATTGCCTATTCTTACTGATTTTTTTAAGACAAAATACTTAGGTAATATTTAATCTGAAAACAGAGACATGGTTTTCATTTGTTAATTTCATAATTTTTGAAAGTTCTACAGTAGCTGTAGTAACAGTGGTGTAGACCTTAGGACCGTGCGACGTAGCTGCTACGCACGTAGCACGGAAAGTTGGTATAAATAATATACTACATATATGGTAATCGATGGAAAAGTGTAAAAGATATGATAACATAGACATAGATAAATGGAATTGCCACATTTTGTTTCCGCAAAGCTACAATTAAAGGATATCCAAGGTTAGAGTGATTAGGCATTTTCTAGTACACGTGTAACGTCGATGGCGTTAGGAGGGATTGCGGCCAAGTGTTTGTTTTACATAAAATATATTTAAAAATTACAATTAGACTTTCCATTAACCGATACTGCGACCGCAACAGGATTCTTATAATTGAATTTAATGTAACTTTCGAAGCAGTAACAAAACGCTCGTCAAGGGCATGTTACGTAGGCCGGGGGGTTCTATTTTGCACCAGTCAACCAACACCACATAAGTGTATTTTGTCCCTACCACATACTTAACCAATTTTTTGTACAAACTAACAAAGGTCAAAAAAATTTGATTTGTCCTTCCATAAGATTACATAAGATTTGGCAGTACTTCTGTAAACTAGCTACCTATTGCCAATATATTACAATCAACTATAAATTGTCTTTGATTTAACGAGTTTGTCTAGATCCTCTATATCTTCTACTTGGGTCTAGCGGCTACATCGATTTCAATAAAACTTGGCAAATGTTCACATCAAAATGTCTGGGGATCAAGCACAAGTTTTCGCTGATTACTTAAAATCAGGTGTTTAATGAATTTTTTGTTAACATCAATAATTTGTTTTGCTCAATTTCATAATTTAAATAATAAATTACTAAATATATAATTTAAGAAATTTAAACGTTTTAAACGTTTATTTAACTTTAAAAGGGCAATCAAATATTTTAGAAATACTTGATATGGGATCTTCTTCACTTTTGAAGTGTGTAGATGTAATTCCAAGAATGTTTCAAATCGTTTTTTTTTTAATTAAAATCGTTATAATTATCGTTTTGTTTCTTTCCTTTTTCGTCCATATTGAGCAAATTGATCTAGTAAATAATATTCTGCAGCTATATTATGATATCGTTTTACGAGATACGTGAGGAAATAAAATGCCAGACAACCACCTTCATTACCTGGATTCAAAGTAGGGTATTCCCTATACTATGAATACTTGAGTAACGGAAGTAACCGTGACATTGACACTGAATACCCTTGAATTGTTATCCAGTTTAGAATTGCATTTTAAATGATTAGAATAAAGACAAAATTTACACAAAATTATTCACTGGAAATTTCATTTATTTTATATCTATAATCAATTTAATTTAGGGCTTACATGAGTTGTTAAACGTCTTCCTAAGGCAACCAAACTATTTATAAGTATGAAAACAAAAGCTTGTTGGTTGTTTCCAATTTACGGACCATTTATTTATTGAAGTAAATAATGTTGGGTCATGGAAAAAAACTATTTTTCAGAAAGGAAATGAAACAATTTTTCCGGATTTAAATCGCGTATATTTGTTTTATCAAATTTTTTAGTTTTTTCGCGTATATTTTTCAGAAAAATATCTCAATATGTTTTAAACTGAATTTTTCTAATATTACCCATTTATATTTTCGTATTTTTTAGAAAAATAGCAAAGCAATTCGCAACAAAATATTTTGAAAATTTTCCACCATATATATTTGTTTATTTATTTATTTATTTATTCAGGATATTCCACATAGCAATACACTATACAATAAATTTGAACATATTCGCTTAAAACTAAGTGCTTCTATAGTTAAGGAACATCACAGCATGCATACAAAAAAATAAATTGTTGTTTTTTGAAACTATCGAGCATATAGTTAATCCTTCTACCTATGATATGATATACAGTAATTGATTTAAAGTTACAAATAAAGTTAAGTTTCAAAATTAAAATTAGAATTAAAAATATAAATTCAAAAATACATATAAATACAAATTTACAATTATTTATTTTTATAATTACAAATTATAAATATAATATATATAAATATATAAATTTATTTATAATTACAAAAAACAATTATTACAACAAAGTTACCCAACACTATTTGTTTGGTATATGTATAAAATCACGAGATATGTGTATAAATACTTATAAACTATGTCGACGAAAAGGATGACGCTCCGCCTCAGGATTGTGCTATTTTTCAGTCTCCGTATGTGTTCTCTTTAGGACATTGTCGGAACAATTACTACTAAAATTTGTAAACAACAAAAACATTCGCCCTTAATCTAGCTTTTATCTGTTGGTGTCTGGTCTGTCTCGTGGTAAGCGATAAGCTTGTCCATAGCAATTGCAATGACACTCAGAGTAGAACTGATTATTGCTCGCAAATATATCTGAGGCAGTGCCATTACATCCGGCACCCTGGGACATATGTTGACCAGTCCCATGTGCCTGTAATTTCACCAGCACCTCTGCAAAACCGGAACACCGCTGTAATACTCACATTATTGCTTGGCGGCAGAAATAAATAAACTTCTCTGGACGAACTCTTTCACAAGGAGCTGTATATTATTAGTAGTCTATCAAAAATAAAATTATAGGAAGTAACTGAAGATGTTTGCCGGAATGTTAATCGTAACTATGGTAAATCTCTTTTTAGAATATGAGTCAACATGACACATGCAACTAAAAACAAACAAATCACAAATTGTACCTTATCCTTAGACAATTCCTGTATTTATTTCCATCCTATACGACCTTATCATTATCAGACACTCTCATACAAACACTCACACGTTCATAATATTCACAACTACATTCGGGCGAGTTTTTTTAGTTACAATTTTTACACGAATTAATTTTTAGTTTCAATTACGTTTTGAGTTTCTTAATTATGTGCGGATTTGAATTCATTCATCCACCCTTACAGATGGAATATTTTCTTCCAATTGGAATTTGACCACTACTGTATCCCCTTTCAAACAAAAAAGAATCATCGAAAACGGTTCACAAATATCGGAATAATCGAGTAACATACACATAAAAACATGCACTCGAATTGAGAACCTCCTCGTTTTTTAAGTCGGTGA